GATTCTCTAACAGTTTACTTTTCAGTTTAAGATATGTGAATCATGTAAGTGAATTCTACCAACTAGGGCCACCTACCCGATTACACCCCCACATTTGGATACTCCATCCCAGGAGTGGGGAACCTGAGGCCTCAAGGCCTCATGTGGCCCTCTAGGTCCTCAAGTGCGGCCCTTTGACTAAATCCAAAACTTCACAGAACAAATCCCCTTGATAAAAAGATTTGTTCAGTAAAACTTGGACTCAATCAAAAGGCCGCACCCAAGGACAGAGAAGGCCACATGTAACCTCAAGTACCCAGGTTCTCCACCCTGCTCTATCCTGACAAGAACTAATGAAGCATGCACTGATTTCATGTGGCCTACAGAAGACATATGGAGGAAGACAGATCATGAAATAGAAGTACCGGTCTAAATCTAGGACCTCATTAATTATGAAGAATTAGGAAGTTACTCAAGAACAGGCCCATAGTACCTTATAACCAGATTACAAAACACATTTTACAATGCTTAGAATTAAGGTTTAAATTCCAGCAACCTCCAACAAGGGTTTCTTACCTTTCAAACCTTACAAGGTAGCAACCATCTCCAATACCTTTTTACCTAAGAGAAAAAAAAAATAGATACAATAGAGATAAAGGCAAGGCTATAGGCTCATGGCTTCGTATTGACTCAGGTAGGAAAAATCTCTCTCTCTCTCCCTCCCCTTCCCCCTTCCCCCACCTTTTACTCTCCCCCTTCATCCCCCTTCTCCCCACTTGGAGGCTTACAACAGTCCTTGCCTCCCTTACTACCAGGAAAGAGATCAAGTTGCTCCCATAGAAATCTTTTGCACACTCACCCAGTTCCAACTCAGCAGCTGATCAACAAGGCACACAGTAAGTAGACTGGAAAGAATCACAGAACACCTGTGCATGTTCTCAAGTGGGGAGCGGGAGCCTCCATTACTGTCCAGAAGCATGCTCACAAACATTCATACGGGGCCCCTGAGCTTGCTCTCAGGGCTAGGCTCTCGCTGACCAGTCCTGTTACTGTAACTTGCTCCAATGCAGTTAAGATATTGTATTGCTAACCCTAGGCTTTTGGTTTTCAAGTGTTTTCCCTTTTAACAGAAAACTTTCTCCTCCAATAAGATGATTTTATTCTAATGCAGACTTAGAAGCTGTTCCTTACTAGCCTGTTTACTCCTTTTTTATTAAGGCCTGTAATTACACAGCTCATTAGCAAAGTCAGAGGAGCATTTCGCACTCTACGCCCCCAGTTTTTATCATTGACGTAGGGTCTAGGCAGTCTACTTCAGTAGCAAAATTATTTTATCATTTTTACATTTCTATAAGGTAAAACTGCTCACAGTTTTATTAATGAAAGCATTTGGATTTAACTTCTGAAAACTTATGCCTTTCATTTTTCGCCATGCATAATTAAATGTCAATCTGTCCTTTTGAAATAAAAATGCTGTCACATCTGTTCTCAGTCTGAACCAGTTGATCTAGTCTTCAGCTGTCTCTGGTTTGTGTAACATATTTACTTGCAGAATAATCATATTTTAAAATGTTGAATTTGCCAGTCCAGAAATAGGAGTTCAACCATTATGCCAGGGCAGCATTTTGTGAACATGAACCGAAACATCAGTGTGGCACATAGTAGACTCTTAATAAATATTTATTGTTTGGAAAATCAGAATTATACAGAATCCATAGCATCATTGCACTCATCATAAACTAAAAAAAAAGATGACCTTTTTTTGGGGGGTGGGGCAGGGTTCTGAAGCTATAATTTCATCAGCAGAGGGAACTCCTAGTGTTGATATTCCCTCTACCAAAGCAGATTGGCAACTCTTCTGTATTTCATATCCTTAGCTGGCTGGGAACAGTGAGAAGTGTCTTGCCTAGGGTCACACAACTAATCTATTTTCAAGGCAGAATTTGATCTCTGATCTTCCAGGTTCCTTGGAGGGTCCTAGTACACTTCCCTGCCTTTATATGACTTATAAGAAAATGTTTAAAAATACATTTCCCTACTCTAAAATAAGAATACAACTATAAGGTATAAGAAAATAGTTGAGCTGTCTGAGCCATGGGATATGGGCAAAAATATAAAGTTAATGGTAGGATTTTGTTGGGTGAGGGGAAACAGTGATTTCATCCATAGAGGGAGATCCTATTAAGCAACTTGCTTTACTTAATAAGATCACTACTTGCTCTAAAATTTCAAGGTTACAGTTCAGTTTCTGGGGTACCAAGAAGTTAGTTAAGCATGGACTCATTCAGTCAGCATATACCAGAGAATGGACCTAGGCCTAGTTCTTACTACAAGGCAGGATCTCTACTCACTAAACTAAGCCACATCTCCACTGATAAGATGTTTGATCAGTCATTGCTAAAACAAAATGGCACCCCATGTTGAAGTATATAGGAAAATATTAGACAATATCACAATGACTTTACTGACTGAATAGTATATTTTTATTGCTATTAATGATTCTTCTGGATCCAAATTCTGTATAACCAAAGTAGTTTTATTTGGTTATCAGTAATTATTGCCTTATTATGACCCTAGGAAAAACCTCTCCATACCATTCACATGGATACTCTGAGGCATATCATTTTGCTTACTTTTCTTCAACTTCTCAGCTTCTTAGATCCCTGTAAGACTTAGTTGAAGTGTCATCTCCTAAAAGAGGTCTTTTCTGGTTCTCTCAGCTGTTATCCCTCACTAATACTTCATATTTATTTTGTATGGGTATATATATATATTATATATATAATGTATACATGTATATGTTTATATATGTGTTTTATATGGTGTTTATACATGTGTGTATATATGTATATATGTGTGTGTATATGTGTGTGCATGCACACTTGGGGTATATAATCTCTTACATATCTATATATAAGTTGTTTCCTAGCAATAAAATATATTTTCTTTGAGGGCAGGAACTCTTTTCAGTTTTGTCTTTCAGTTTTGTAAAATTAGATTTGTTCTGTAAAATTTAGATTCAATCAAAAGGCCACACTTAAGAATCTAGAAGGCCACATGTGGCCTCAAGGTTCCCTACCCCTAGTCTAGAAACTTTCTCCGTCCCGTCCAATTCCACAGTTCTTGGAAGATTAGCCTTATTTTGTGGTTTCTTTACATTCTAGTCTTGTGCATTTCCATACATACTTAAGAGAGTTAACTGGGCTATCTCTCATCTTCCTGAATGTCAACTCACGTCATGAGGCAAAGCAAGAAATAGGATTACATCATACATCTAGGCCTCATTCCAGACCTTCTGAGTCCTTAAACTCTCTTGGCAATATATGTTTAAAAAAAATCAACCCAAAATCCAATCAAAACATAACTGGTGGTAGAATAATGAATAGATGATGCTTTATTTGCCTAGAGAGCTTTTAGTGGAATAGATTGTTAAACATGCAAAAGCAGCACCATTGAGGGTAGAATAGATTTATTTCTTTATGTCGTAGTGTAATTAAATCAAGTAGCTTGTTGAAAATACAACTTTGCAAATTTTATACATAATTTACTATCACACATTCAGTACAAACCCATCTCTGAAGAGCCTTATTACATCATTGCAAGGGTAAGTCACCTAAGTCACAAGGGCAAACCATTTAACATCCATTCACCTTAGTTTCCTCAACTGTAAAATGGGGATAATAACAGCACCCTCCCGGCAGGATGGTTGTGAGGATCAAATGAGATAACATTTTTAAAGTGCTTAGCACGGTGCCTGGCACTTGGCAGGCACTTTAAGAATGCTTATTCCCTTCCCCTTTCCTTCCCTCCCCCGCCCCCCTCAAGGTGATTTGCATGGACCATAATTAGCATCATAGGAATAGAGAAGAATTGAAAGGAAGTTTTTTATTCTAAGTCACAGAGCAAGTAGAGCTCAGGAAATGCAGCTCAGGCAAAATCAAAGGCGATCAAAAGATAGATTTAACAAAAGCCTGAAGGCCTCTGCTGACTGTGACCCAAATAGAGGCTTCAGTTCTGCCGAGGACCAGCAAATCAGAGCAGAAAGAAGAGGCCAAGAAGGCCAGGATCACTGGATCTCAGAGGGAGTGGGTATATGTTTGGGGTGAGGGGGAATGTAAGGTGTGACAAGACTGGAAAGGCAGAGAGAGGCTAGGTTATGAAGGGCTTTGAATACCAAAGAATTTATTTAATCCCGGAGATGGTGGGGGCTACCGTTATTTATTGAGATAATGGAGATTTGACATTAAGAAAGTATACTTTGGGGCATCTAGGTGGCGCAGTAGTTAGAGCTCCAGCCTTGGAGTCAGGAGGACCTGAGTTCAAATCTGGCCTCAGACACTTGACACTTCCTAGCTGTGTGACCCTGGGCAAGTCACTTAACCCCAATTGCCTCACCAAAAAAAGAAAAAATAATAAAAATAAAACACAAATAAAGTATAATTTGGGCTCACTGGCTTACCATGGAAGAAAACCATGGAGTTTGTTCTCTTGAAATGGATTGATACACTCTTAAACTGGTAGTTTTTTCTGGATTATCTGGATAGTCTGGATTAGTCATTGGAAAGTGAGGCTGTGTCTGATTTCACTTCTCTAGGTGGCAGAGTATCTAGACTGGAGAATTGGGCAGGAAGCTAGGAAGACAAATTGAAATCTTACCTCAGGCACTTAATTGACCTTGCAGCTCTGGACCATTCACTTAATCTCTAACATTCAGTTTCCTCATGTGCAAAATAGGGATAATAATAACACAGACCTAGTATAGTATTGAAAACACCCTACAAATGTGCTTTTTATCCATGATATAAAATAAATGTATTTTTATTTCATTTATTTTATAAGTAAATGTTGTTCTGCTTTGACGTTTGCATTGACAACATATACATAGGTAGTTGCTTTATGATAAATATAAAGCAGTTATCATTAGATAGGAGTCGTGGGAGAACAAGAGGAGTAGGCACTTATTGCAGCTGTTTCCCAGACAGGTCTTGCTAAACTTTTCCTGTTCCTCTGAGCTTTTCCAGGTCTCCTGCAGCCGGCCAAGCTGAGCCTCAACCTTCTGGTGCTGATTTCTGCTGCTTCTGCACAGAGCATCTCAATGGGCTTCTTCAGCCTGGGAGGACTGAGAGGCTCCCCTGACCTTGCCCTGGGCTACGCCATGAATGGGTTTCTAGGAGATGAAATCTCACAGCTGGCTGAGCTGGACCTCCAATACCACAGGAGGAAGCTGCCAGCTGGCTACTGCACGGTGGGGGTCAGTTGTTTGCTGCTCTGCCTGGCTCTGACTTTCCTCATCCTCAACTGCTCCACAACTATCCCTGAGGCCAGGATGCTCCTTGGGGCTGAGCTGGTCATTGATGTCCTGGGGGCACTGACCTGCATGCTGGGCACTGGGCTGTACATTCACTCCATTCAGTCTGCCAATGCCACAGAGGTGTGCAAGTGGCGGGAGGCCACCTACAGGAGTGCTGGATACACTTCTGTGACCTGTGACATCCTTGGGACCAAAGGGGCGGCCTGTATGTTTGCCATCTTGTTGATGATGGTGTATTTTTCAGGAATGATTTGTGTGGGGCTTTCACTGAGGAAACAATCCTCTTAGAAGGCCAAGAGGCAGCCTCAGACACCTTGAAATTTAGAAAACAGGATCTGAGCTGGTCAGAAAACTGACACCCATAGAAGTTAACTGATTTGCACATAGAACCCAGTCCTCTGAACCCAAATGTGTCCACTTTACCACACTGTCTTTCATCCCCAGATTGGGATGAGCAGGGATATCGGAAGACATCCAATTTCCATACAACAATCATTTATTAAGTACTTACTATGTGACACTCTCTAGCGATACAAGACAAATATGCCCTTGGGCAAGCCATTGGGCCTCAGTTTCCTCCTCCATAAAGCAAGGGGCTTGGACAAGATGGCTTCAAGTCTAAATCTAAAGATGTCTTCGGCTCTAAATCTATGATCCCATGAAATAAGTCCTACCTTCAAGGTGCTTACAGAACTCTCCTGGGAAGAAAAGAGATATGCATAGATGATGGAATGCAAAACACTGTATGTAGAAAGTAATTCCAAAGCAAGGGAGTTCTGATAACTGGGGGAATAGGAAGCCGGGCAAGATATTTGCCAGCGGGTGGTGGGCTTCCCAGTTGCATATTTTAAGTGTTGGCTTAGATTCATCACATGGGCTCTTTACTAAAAATACCACCCATTTCCCTGTAAGTGAATTACTCTCCAGTTTGTGCGGTTTCATTGACAGGGGAAATAGAACGATGCGCTTGGTTTAAAGAAAACACGTTGTTTCTTTACCTGGAGAGTTTACACAGGCTACGATCCTAAATCAGGTGTTACTGGAGGTTAATTTGAGAGAAAATAATTTGCCTTTTGGGGTGAATGTGCTCTACATATTATGCTTTGCAATGTGCCATTTTCTTTCAAACTCTTTATTGGCCTCGATGAATATAGTGCATTGTGTTAGAGAAAGGACGTAGCGTCATGCTCCTTCCACATAATTCTGGTAAATAACAACCCGGACAATGAGACTCTGTCCCAGGCACTGAGCAACCTCTTTCCTTCAGCATGCCGGGCTGGGGTGGGGGCCGAGGGTGGGGTGCATACCAAGATGTTAGTAGGAAGCTTGGCTATGGAGAACACCACCACCTGAGCGCTACTGAGGAAAGCCCAAGATTGAAGGGGAGTGGTGGTAAAGGTGGGAAGGACCTGGAAATGAAGGTAGTGGCCTGGGACTCACAGAGGATCACTAATCTCAATGGAGCCTAGTTTGTAATGCAATGAACTCTTTCCAAGGATGTTGCTGGCTCTGCTGACTTCTCCACTCCAGTCTACTCCCCGGGACACATGTGTTTGGATTATGGGCAGGGTGGGGGCGTACCTGAAACAATAGCACTCCTAAGCCGCGATGCTTGGGCCAAGACAAAGGATAGTTTCCAGATGTGAGGCCTCACATTCCCGCCAGCCCCAGCAAGGCTGCCTATTTGAACAAAGAGATGGTAAATATTCAGGGCGCCCCAGTATCCAAGAAGAGCAGACGCCTGCCAAGACTAGGAGTGCAGATGTGTACAGAATGGACATCCAAGTTAGGGTTAGAGAAAGAGTAAACTTGTACTATATAGTTTTATATTGATATATCCATGTACAGCAAAACATTCCCCTAGGTGGCTGCAGGCTTAGTTAAGGATATTCACTTACTCGGGTAAAATAGTAGGTTTATACTAAGATGGGCAGTCAGGACAAGACGTAGCTTCCATATTCCCAGCTCTGTTCTCCCCATTCCTGCATCATGTCAGAAATGGTCTATTGTTTCCAAGAAATAATTCTGAGACAGAGATATCCTTAAAAAATAGAATAATAGAGCCCTAAGAAAGTCATTAAATCATAGAACTGGAAGACATATAATTCCAATTTTCAGAGTTAGAAAGGATCATGGGTACCATCTAGGTCAACACTCTCACTTTACAGATGAGAAAATTGAGGTCCAAAGAAGTGAAGGGACCTCACACAAGTTCCACAGTTAATTCACAAAAGAGTCAGGATTTGAATCCGGTTCCCTCATTGATGGTCTTATACTTTCCCACTAAACCGAAGAGCAGAACAAGGGGCTAACAGGACCAGCTCTGCAACCAGTCCCATTTATGGGCCCAGCACAAAGGGATGGGATTCCTGCCTTCTCTCAGTGGAAGCAATTTACTTTTCTATAGTTTTGGGGGACTTCTGGTTTTGTTTCACACCTTTTTGCTTATTCTCCTTCCTCTGCCAAGTCCTATCTTGTCTACTCTGGTTTTGGATATTAAAACATTGGCCCCAGGAGCTCATCCACAAAATGGTTGTATGAGTGGGAGCAATTTTATCTAGTTCTTGATGGTTTTATATTCGTTATTTCATTTGATCCTCAAAACAACCCTGTGAGAGAGATTGGTGGCATTAAATACAATCAATTAAATAATTGTTGTTCAGTCAAGTCTGACTCTTGGTGAGCCCATGGACTAATTTGCCATTTCCTTTTCTAGTGAATTAAGGCAAACAAAGATTAAGTGACTTGCCCAGGGTCACATGGCTAGTAATTATCTGAAGTTGAATTTGAACTCAGATCTTCCTAACTCCAGGCCCAAGGCTCTTTCGCCTGATCCACCTGGCTGCCTCAAATTAAATAATAGGAGGAGACATTAAATCTCATTTTCACAGGATCATCCTTTGTTTAGAGCTGTAAGGGATCTCAGGGATCACTTAATCCTCCCACCTCATTTTGCTTGTTGTACCACTTGATGAGTTTACTGGGTGGAGAGGTTTTGTTCGGGACTTTTATCTCCCTGGGGAGAAGCTTATGGGTCCACTAGAGATGAAATGGTTGGCTCAGACTGTTGGGGGTCAGAGATACTCCTTTGTGATGGGCCTATAAAAGAGAGTCAATTACAGAGTTGATTCAGTGTCCTCTCCCTTGCCGCCGGCCCACCCCCCTTTTTCAGAATAATCAAAAGAAAGTTGAACTTAGGGCATAATGTTGAGAGAGGGCTTTGGTTCCTCGGTATATAGTATGTGTGTGTTGGGTGTTTCCCCATTGGAATAGCCCCAGGTACTGAATGACCGTTCCTGCCTCAGCCCCAGATGGCTGCTACCAGGGCCAGTAGCAGAGAACAGCAAGACTTTCCAGACTCAGTTGGAAAGAGGCAGTGCTTTCACCTCTTACCCGAAGAAATGGCAGCAGAGGAAGATGAACCAAAAGACTGTTCTTGATCCTCAGTCTTGCATCTCCAGACTTCTAGAGGGATAGCCAGGACTCCCCTACTGAAGACTGAGCACGTAGGCTGAAGCTGAAGGTACGGGAAAGGACAATAGGACAGGAACCCAACTCTGCATCAGTTTTAGCCAGATCCCTGCCCTCACTGTTGACACCTGGCCTGGATGTGGGAGCACAGATACAAATTTCAATGCTCACTCTGTAACCCTACTTTGCACAATGCCCTGGCCGGGTCTTCACAGAATATACTTTAAAAAAAAACCCACTAGTCCAGAATCATAGTGATGTACTGAACCTTAGAGTTTATATATTAAAAAAAATCCATATAATCAAAAGCTGCATTGCGTACTCTGTGTTGATCCTGCTGGGGTCAGGCTGCGTGGCAGACAGATTGTTTGATTTGGACCCTGGACACTTGGGTTCAATTTCTGGCTCTACTCTTCTTACCTGTATGACTTTAGGCAAGTCACCTTGTCTCTGGGCCTGTTTCCTTCTCTTTAAAATGAAGGGGCTACACAAATGACCTCTGAGGTCTCTTCCAGCATTAAACCAATGATGAATTCAACGAGCTCTCTGTAAATCCCTGCTAAATGAGACAGCCTGTCCAGAGCAAGCCAAATGGACTGACTTCATCTCCTCTGCCCACCCTTCACTGAATGTTCTTCTAAGGGCTGTGTGGAGGAGGAGATAGTGAACATTTGCATCTGTCCAATCAGCCTGAGTTTGGGGGCCTTCTAGGGTTTGATTTCCCCCATTTATATATCTACTCCTAACTTTGCCCTCTCTCTGAAATTGACTTGTGAGATTAGAAACTACTTACAGAATCTCCCTTCCCAGGAAATGAGCCTTTAAAAAAAAATTTTTAAGGTAAACCAGACTTCAAGAAGACTGAGTACAATCCATCCCAAATATACACATTATCTGGCATTTCTGGGTGAATTGCATTAGTCAGGCATACTTTGGATCCCAAGCAGTAAAATGTCTCCTGTATATCATTTTTACTGGGCTAGAACATTTGTCCTCATTAAGAGGATCCCCAGTTTTTAACATAAGTATTGAAAGAGGCAAGAGGTAATGAATCCCCTCTTGTTAGAGACAGGCACAGAACTGAGGAAATGTTGATGCTTTAATTTCCCAGGAAAGGGTGGGGAGTGTTGTGGTGCGTTTGTGACAGCCAAGGCAGATGGAAGGGCCCCCTTGTTTCTCCACTTTCTCATCACATCCAAAGAGGAAGGGGGAAAGGGAGCCAGAGAGAAGGGATGGTTCATCCCCTCCAATGGAAAGACAATAGAGCCAAATCTGAGTCCTGCTTTCAAACCATGATCTTGGATATTCATGGCCAAGCTGTCACAGATCTCCCTCCAAACATCATGTGTCTTAAAACACACACATACACACACACACACACACACACACACACGCACGCACCACACATACACAAAACTAGTCAACTTTTGCAAATAAGCAAGGAAGAGGGTCATTAAGGCCACTCTGAGGCATTGCTCTGCCATGCTGCAGAAAGGCTGTTTGACTATAGTCTCTGCCAAGCCAAAATTACAAAGTGTGACACAGTGGCGGTCCCTATTTATTCTTCATGCTTTCCTCCCAAAAGCCCTTTGTGTCCAGTTTATTTCAGGGGTGTCAAAAGGCGTGCTTCTAATTCCAGGTCTTTTCAGTTCTATTTATAACATTAAAATTCAGGCACACACTGGTAAGATTCAACCTGTTCACATCATTATATTTTAAAGCAGTAATTGACCTGCCCAACCCAACTTCCTGCTTCTTTGAAGATATAATTCATAAGCTGTCACAGAGCAGCCCCTACAGCTTTCAATACCAACCATTTTTCCCTTTCCCCAATGACTATTTTCCTAACCCACTCAGAAGGTAGAAAAACTGACAAAAAATTCCATTCTTAACATTTGAAGCAGCATCATTAAAAGGGATAGAGCACAGGGGTTGGAGTCAGGAAAACCTGCCTACCTCAGATACTTCCTAGCTGTGTGACCTTGGGCAAGTCACAATCTCAACCTCAGTTTTCTCCTCTGATGGGGATTGCATAAGGGGGTTCATCTCAATGACCTCTAAGGTACCTTCCAGCTCTAAATCAATGACCCTATGATAAGGCTGCCTATCTAGACAGGCTGGAAATAAGAGGGGGTCTTGGGTATTTTGGATGGATTTATCCACAAAATCTGGAAGTGAGGCTACTTTGGCTGCCAGCAGGCCACAATGGCACCATTGAGGGCAGTGGGTAGCCAAAACCATGCCTGCTATTCATTTCCCACCAGGTTGAGCTCCTTTGGACCTCTCCATCATGCACCTACACCAGGTGCCTTCTCTCCCCTTCCCCCTTTTTTTGGGTTCCTTTTGTGTATTGTCTTCCCCCATTAGGTTTTTAACTCCCTGAGGTCAAGGACTATCTTTCTTTTTCATCTTTGTACAACTAGTGTTTAACACAGTGCCTAGTACGCAGAAGGCACTTAATAAATGCTGATTGATTGGTAGCAATTCCATTATCAACTGCATTGTCTTGAGTCAATCAGGAACTTCAAGAACTCACCTTTATTTCCCTGGAAACCAGGATCAGTATGTAAAGAAGAGGAAGAACCATGATAGGGTGGTGAAGAAGGATGTACTTGCAGAAGAAAAGCCTTTGGGAAGTCTATTTTCACCTGTCCAATCACCCACTTCCCCCTTGCATATCATACCTGTTGCCTAGGATTGAAGAAGAATGGATGGAGAAGAGAAAGAAAGAATCCCAGGAGAAGAAAGGATAAAGGAGTT